GTTAAGGCCAAATGACGGTTATAGCTCTCATTAGACATCATGAGATGTCTGATGGACTGGTGAAGATCCTCTCCAACAGTTTTATCGCCTCAAGACTAGTCTCCCTAAAGCCTGACTTTCTACCAATAATGATCTTCATAAGCTACCTCTCATTCTCAGTCAAGGTGGGGAAATTAAAGGAAACTCGATCAAGAGTAAAGTTGGAAAAAGCATCCTTAAATTTAACTTTCTCATGAACAACCCAAGTAGAGGGCTTAATTGTTGTAACCTCTACAGTCAAGGTTAGAAGTTAAGGTAGAAAGAATGACATCATAGGAGCTTTTATAGTGGAGGCTAGAACACTAGTCTCTATAGGAGTAGAGACCCTTTTTTTTCTTGAAGCGAACAGTAATGCTCATAATTACTTCAGGGAGAGTTAAATTTGATTAACCCTTAACTATGAGAGTAAAGTTCCCACTAACTTTTTTTTCTATAGGGGTCCTAATTCTTACCATTATTTCCTTAAGAACAAAACCCTCAAAGAGTTCATCAACGATGATGAGGTCATCCTCCATCATATCTCTAGTCTTGTCTCTACTCGTATCAAGAGATGAAGACCCTATTCATAAACTCTTATCTACAAACTTTGTTGAAGTTTCTTTTTCTCTTTCAGATGTTAGTCCTGCATAAAAAAAAAAAGTCAACAATGAATTTAGATACACAGAAAACAAAGAATAAGGAAGTTGCATACTTCACGATATGGCCTAATAATATCCTTTGGTCATCTTATTGACTTCATATTCAATTGAGATCGAGGCCAGTACATCACATCTTTTCTCCTTGTCTGAGCTAGCTCTCTCTCTCTCTCTCTCTCTCTCTCTCTCTCTCTCTCTCTCTCTCTCTCTCTCTCTCTCTCTCTCTCTCTCTCTCTCTCTCTCTCTCTCTCTCTCTCTCTCTCTCTCTCTCTCTCTCTATATATATATATATATATATATATATTAGGAGAGGAGAGGAACCCTTAATTAATGGTACAACTCTAGATTTATGAATGAGATCTTATGCCCCTCTTGCATTCGAAGTTGACATCAATTTGAGAGTTAGCTTAGTTTGTATATACAACTCGACGATGGATTTTGTTTTCAATGACGAAGTTGAAGAATCTTCAATGATATGTCAACGACTTGAATAAGTAGCCTTATTGTTTTCTGAAGCGACAATGGTGATCATGTTCCTCCTACTTTTCATCGAGAGTTTGTTGAAAATTCTTTCTTAAAGGGAAGAGATGAGAGGTTGAGATTTCTCCAGTAAAGTCATAAGAAATTTATGGATATAATTTTATGCACTTGAAATTAAACAAGCACACATGTACAAATTTATGATTTTATTAAATATATGAATGGGTACAATCTCAATGTAATATATTCTTTAAAAAGAATATAGCAATTCTTTGATTCTTTCCTTGGATTTGATGTATGGTGACTTGATTTATTTGAGTAATCAAGCCAAGATTTGTGATTTGTAAGAACGTGAATTTGGGCGTGCTTTGTGACGTGAGATTTGGTGATTTGATGTTTTGAAGAATACCTTTGATTCATCTTCAAAGTGTGTTGAAGAACTCTTATAGGATGTTTAGGCTTGATCCAACAAAGCTTGGCGAGATTTGGTAATTTGATGCTTTGAAGAGTACCTTTAATTTGTCTTTAAAGTATTGTTGAAGAACTCTTATAGGGCGTTTAGGCTTGACCCAACAAAGCTTTATTCTTTGTAGACTTCAAGTATAGATAAAAGAGGCTTGAGAACTCTTTGAGAGAGCTTATTTGCTTAAAGAGCTTGTCTTGAAGGAAATTTGTATCTTTCAGGATCCTTGGTGATTTGATGCTTTGAAGAGTACCTTTGATTTGTCTTTAAAGTGTTGTTGAAGAACTCTTATGTTGCGTTTTGGCTTGATATAATAAAGGTTTATTTTTTTATAGACTTCAAGCGTAGATAAAAGAGGCTTGAGAACTCTTTGATAGAGCTTTCTTATTTGAAGAGCTTCTCTTGAAGGAAATTTATAACTCCAGGCCCCTCTTTTTTCTCTAGGTTGAGGCCCTCTATTTATAAAGATCTGCAGGGGCTCTCAGGTTCTTTTTTAATGCCACATAGCATAATTTTATTGGTTGATATTTATTGATAGGATCTTACATTTATAACAATATATCTCGATAGGATTTTGTATTTATGACAAGATATATTGAATATCTCATTCTAAGTATCAACCTTTCATTAGCCAAGAAATATGGCTCATTTATTTTCCGTATCATATATTTTAATTTTATTTTATCCTTTCTTTTAAAGAATAAAATAACACATGGCAAAATTTAATTGGTAGAAAATTTATGTTTCTACACTCATCATCATAAAGCCAACTCAAGGAAAATTCTTATTTGCAGCATCATTTGAAAAAAAGTTGTATTATCTGTTCTTTTGGTGTGTGCAGATGTTGGTTTACGAGTTCATCTTAAATGGGACTCTTAGAGATTATCTCTCTCGTACATCTTATAGTTTATGTTATAGAATTTCATTTTATTTTATTTTTATCCTAAAACAAGATTAATTAACTTCAAGATCCTTTATGATTATCCCATAGGTTTTATTTGATGGATCATGCATTTGGTATCACAGCAAAGGTAAAAGAACCATTAAGTTTTACAACAAAATTGGGAATAGCCCTGAATTCAACTAATGGTATCCTTTACTTACATACAGAAGCTGATCCTTCAACATTCCATCAAGATGTCAACGCAAGCAACATATTATTGAACTCTAAGTATAATGCCAAAGTTGTTGATTTTGGGCTCTCAATAAACATTGAAGGGGATATACCGGGTCATATATCCATGGTCGTGAAGGGTACTCCAGTAAGTCTATCACACACACTATATTTATCGAAAAGAATAAAGTCTAAGCCTTTTAGATGTATATCTTCCAGTAGCATGATGAAATTCGAAGTTGAAATAGAAACCGTGAGTTAATTGATTCCCTGTATCTCTTTTATTTTAAACTTTGTATTAACTTTGTAAGTTATCCTGATTCAGAGTACTTTTGACTTGTAAATTAACAGATAAGAGGAGTGATATTTATAGTCTTGATGTTGCATTTCTAGAGCTGTTGACTAGGATGCAACCAATCTTGCACAGCAAAAACATTATTAGAGATGCAATGTTTTTTAGCACCTTCTCTTCTTATTTGAACTTGAGTCTATAATTTCTTACTTTAATATCAATGAAAAATATTAATTTAGAGATTCTATTAAAGCACCATATCATGCAAATGAGCTTGGGATTCAGTTTCTAAGTCTATTTCATGATGAGAAACATTGTCATCAATTCAATTCTCTAAATCTCATAATCTCTGGATTTATAATTCGATAAGTCGCATATCAAACTAATATGATCTTCTTCATCATTGATAAATTAATGAGTTTTTATCTTTTTGACTGTGTCAAAAAGTTCTCAACTTTAGCAATGAAATATTGCAATGATGAGATATATCAATGATTGATGTGGTTTGAGAACTTGAAAGTACATGGCATGCCATAATCAGATACTAAAAAGTGTTGATATCAAAATGAAAATGACCTCACCCTTTTTATGCTCTTTATTAAAGAACTTTTATGTGTTGTCTCTAGCAGAAACCTTGTTAGTGGAGTTGCTATCACCATCACTCCTAGATAAAATAAAATAAAAAGAATAAAAATAAAACAGAGAACTAAATTTGGATTGTCATTGCTATAGTGCTTCAAAATTGAATTTAAGGGATTATCTATCAACTTTTTAATTGGTTTTCACCATAACTTTTCTTGATATACATGCAGCTAGGAGTTGATATACAATCATTATAATTGATTTGATTAAGGAGCATGTCCCGTATAAAATAAAAAAATAAATAGATAAAAAAATTATTTAGGTATTATTTAGTTATTTTCCTGTAATTTAAAAAAAATACAATGAGAATAAAAATATATTTAATGAGATGGATGGAAATAAAATTAAATATATTTTTAGAATAGTTTTCAAATAGATTTCTATATTTTTTTGTATATGCAAAAGGAATATATTCTCTTTATCTCTAATATTTTTTTATATTTTTTTAAAATAGTAACCGGACGTTAAATTTATTTTAAATACTATTTTTAAAATTTGAATTCAAAAAAATAAACTTTTTAATGGCTATGTCAAAAAATTATTTATAAATTATTATTTTTAATAAATTAATGCACTAATATATATATTAATTCCTGAATAAAAAAGGAGAATATCCTAGAAATTAAAAAAAAATTGCAATATAGAAGGTGGTGTTCACTTATGTTTCTCTTTGCAAAATAAATAGATAAGGAGACCGACCAAAAGAAGGAGAGGAAGGGGCCGGCAGGTCAGGTCCAACACGCAAGCTATAAACTAAAGAAACCGACAAGATATGAATGGTGGGCTGAGGTTGCAGCCCATATTGACGCAAGCACACACGTACGTCCCCAAACGAAACCGTGTTAGGGTTTTACTTTTCTTGTTCCCTTCTCTCTCCCCTCTATAAATACAAAGCCTCTCCAATTCAAGTTTTCATTTTGTTTCTCTAGGGTTTCTGGGCCGATCTACTGCACGCGAAGTCGCCATGGGTAGAAGTAAGCTTCTTTCTCTCTTCCATCTCCAAACCCCAATGAATTTCAGTTCTCAACTCGCGTAACGATGATTGTTTTCTTTTCTTTCCTTAAATTAGAAATGAGTTTGCTCTCGAATCCATCCATCCATGTAAATCTTAATATTTGTTGTATGAGGAATATGATATGAATAATGTCGTGCCTTTATTCGGGTTTTCATGCCTTCTTAAATTTTATTTATCGGGTTTTTGTTATAGGTTGTCTATATTTTTTTTTTCTTTTTTGTGGGTTTAGAATAATTGTTAGCTTTTTTATTGGATTATCCAAAGCATTCAGCTTTTTCAATCTATATTCATTGTAAATGGTTTTTCCTTTTATCTTCAAATCCTTATATTTGAAGATGGCTATGGTTAAGATTGTGAAACAATTGGAAAAAAGGTTTATATTGCTGATGTCTAAGGGATGTATTGATGGATGGATGAGTCCGTTTTGGTTTTTCGATGTTAAGCTAGATCTTAATCTTGATTCTCCCCATTGGGATTTTTTTCTTTACCATATTCTTATCTTAAAAAAGGTTATTTCTGCTCTTAGTACAATTGCTATTGTGTTTGAAAAGGTCAGTTTATTAAATGCTGTATATTTTTAAATTGAAATTGGGTTCGTGTGTTGAAGACTTCGTTTAGTGTTTTGTTTGTCCTTGTTAAATATGTCAGCTGGTATGCCTTCTAATGCACCCACAGAAGCCATCTTTATTACTTAGAAAATGTGAAAAAATGTGATTTGCATCTGAATTTTGTGTGATTGAATTTCTAAAGCTAGTGTTTTCTTCCATTAAGCTGTTTCTTACTCTTCTTTACTTTCCCATTTGTAGGACCTGCAAGATGTTACCGTCAGATAAAAAATAAGCCATACCCAAAATCACGTTACTGCCGTGGTGTGCCTGACTCTAAGATCAGGATTTATGATGTTGGCATGAAGAGGAAGGGAGTTGATGAGTTCCCATTCTGTGTGCACTTGGTGTCCTGGGAGAAGGAGAATGTCTCCAGTGAGGCTCTTGAGGCAGCACGTATTGCTTGCAACAAATACATGGCCAAGTTTGCTGGAAAGGATGCTTTCCATTTGAGAGTCAGGGTTCATCCATTCCATGTGTTGCGTATCAACAAGATGCTTTCATGTGCTGGAGCTGATAGGCTCCAAACTGGCATGAGGGGTGCTTTCGGTAAACCACAGGGAACTTGTGCTAGAGTTGCAATTGGACAGGTTCTTCTGTCTGTTCGCTGCAAGGACAGCAACAGTCACCATGCTCAGGAGGCTCTTCGCCGTGCAAAATTCAAGTTCCCTGGTCGCCAGAAGATTATTGTCAGCAGGAAGTGGTATGCAATTTCTTTTTTTTGTTTTACTAACCGTCAGTATGTATGTGTTTTCTATTATTTTTTCGGTTACAATCGTTGTTATGCATGGAGTAGTGTACATTTTCTTTGTTCTCAGAGGCACACCTGGTGCCCTGATTTTCTATTTTTGGTGCTGCTTTACCGTACTTGAAAAATGAAAAGCCTGTTCCTTTTGTCAAGGCAGTTTTTTCTTCTTGTTTTGTAAGTTTATTTTTTGTTTAGTTAGTGAGGATGTGTTTACAATTAGTAATCTAACCTTGTCTGATAACTGTGATTCTCAGGGGCTTCACCAAGTTTAATCGCAATGATTATTTGAAGTTGAAGGCAGAAAACAAGATTATGTCAGATGGTGTGAATGCCAAGGTGAGCCTCTGTTTATAATCTGTACTTGCATCCATTTATCCTGTTTGGAACACTGGGTTAAGGGTAATCAAACTGATGGTTGTGTTTCATGCAGCTTCTTGGATGCCATGGACCCCTGGCCAACCGTCAGCCTGGAAGAGCTTTCTTACCTGCTACTGCTTAGATCTTTTCATTCCTGGAAGGAACTTTGTTCATCTCTTAGCACCTGAGGAATTTTTCCGTTACTCTTTTTTAGTAGTATTGCATCTCGTTGAACTGTTTGTTTATTCCAAACTGTACCGAGGGTATTGTATGAAATTTCGTGGTATTATGGTGTTTTTGCCACAGTTGAATCGATTTTGGTACATCTTTTTTTTATTCGGCCCCTGCATCGCTAGATTAAGTTGCGGAAGTCTTGTATAATTGTTGGTTGTGGTTGGCGTTCCACGAAGGGTAGAGAGCATTGCCTGAAATTGGGATGCATACCTTTTGAGCCAGCGTTGGATCGGTGATCATAGGAAGATAACATGAGCAGCCGCTACCGTGCTATTCGTGTCCTGAATTTTCATTACTCTTTTTGGTGAATGACTCGATCTCTTTCAAACGCTCAGAACAAGACTTTTCATAAAATCTTAATTGTATCGAACGAGGCCTCCCATTTCCTGTGAGGGATGGCAAGCCAGCCAATGAATATAATCCCGAGTATTGTGAATCCTTCAATTCTCTCGAGATTACGAAAAATATCAGATAAAAAAGGTAACGCAATCCCACATCGTCTTCACGTGCATGGATTTTGTCCTCACCACCTTTTCTTCATGTTTTATGGATTGTGTTGGGCTACACCTGCCCTGATCAATTCTCAGGGACTAGGCACATTTAGCAAGCGAGAAACTGGGACAAAACAATGCCTGTTGCCACAAGTATTATTTCCCTTCCTCATTTTATTTAAAATACAAAATGTCATGTTACCACTCGAGAAATTACACTATTCAAAATGCTATGTTGCTAATTGACCTTTCCCGATGGTCCTTAAAGATACCCTAAGGCAGCAGGCAGCAGGCAGCATCCTTATTAAATCAAGAAAATTAATAAAAATAACTGAGAAAATCAAACAAAAAAAATTAAATTCACTAACTAAAAAATCGCAAGAAAATTCTGGTTTGGTTCAGTTTTGATTTTTAAAGTTTAAAAATGATTGACCGAACTAAACCTAACCGGTTCAACCAGACCAGCACTTAAAAAACAAGTATAAATAGAATGTTTTTTCTAACCCTAAACCTAAAGTGGCATTCTCTAAAAACAAAACCAACACTCGCTCCTCCCTTTACTCTCTATATCTCTTTCTCTAAATCTTAACCAACAAACACCCCCCTCACACATAGGCGCACACACAAATACCTATTTGATGAACCTCACAAACTCCTCCTCAACGTTTTCTTCTTCTTCATCAAACTCGAACACACTAAATTCTCAACTCGAACGAGCTATGACTAACTCATATGGAGCTTCTTCAGTTGCTATTGAAGCTTTCATGGGGAAGAAGACAAGCTTGTAACCTTAAAATTTGATGGGGCTAGTTGTTATTAAATGGAATACTCCAAGCATAACGAGAAGAGATGCTGCAATAAAAAATAAAAAAAAACAAAAAAAAAAACAAGGCAATCCTCTACATGCAAAAGCTTGTGTCATGGCTGATGTGTAAAGGAACTCAATTTATGGCATTATGTTTGTTTTTCATGAAAAGATGCTCACAAGCACCAAAACAAGTCTTCTTGATAAGGATTGGGTTGCTAAAAGCAAACCCCTTTTTGGAATCTAAGAGCTACTTGTACAAAAACTATATCATTTCCTAAATTTTCAAGCTAGCAAACCGAATTGATCGGTTTGGAAGGAAAAAAACCAAACTAAACTAAAGCGAAACTGGTCGGTTTGAACCGGTTTTCAATTCAGTTCAAAAAAAATTTTTAAAAATAATTTTGATTTGGTTGTTTATTTTGATCCAAAACTGGACCGAATCGAAAATGCTCAGCCCTAACTGTAATGAAAGGAAATATTATTAAAGAGAATTATCGATCAAGAAGTCTAAACCAAGCTAAGAATGTTCTAGTAATTAAAATTAAAAAAATTGAAACCTAATGGCTTGAATATTGGAGCTTCTTCCTTTTTCTAAACAACTTTTCAACATCTTTCTTTCTCGGCTTCACAACACATCGGTTCTTAACCTTAAATTTTGCCTTTTCAAAACCAACCGACTTGGCTTTCTTATCATTTCCCTCATTCAACGTTCCTCCATTGATTGTTTTGTTCTTTCCTTTTGGTTTTTGAGTGTTGATCATTCCTCCAACCTTATTGGCATTAGCCTTTGCCTTTTTTTGTATCTAAATGCCCTTCTTTTTCTTCTAGGCACTAACTAAATTTGAACGAAGATTCTTGCCCCTTTCTGATCTATTTTTCATACCAATAGACCCTTATAATCCCCTCAACACATCCTTGTAGCATTCCAACTAATTATCTAAGGCAAAGTCTCCTACTATTTGAGGTGTTATGGTAGTGATCATTACTTGAAAAACAGTTTTAAACCATTAATGAGCCTCATGCTACATATACTGGATAGATATAAGTGACTTTTTAGTAGAGAATTGAGTTGTCCAAATCCCATAACCTGTATTTGGCTAGGATTATTCTCTTTTAGTAACACTTCTTACTTTTCCAAGTAAAAGACATCTATAATTCTAAATAGTTAGACACTATATTCTCCATTGTGGACAACTACTGTACCCCTAGAACCATATCACAATTACTTATTTTTACCATAAATACATTAGTTTTAAAATGCACACCCTGTATTCTTTATTTAAAATTCTTGAACATTTTTGTGCAAATCATGGTCCTATTATTGGGTTTTTTAACTAATAAGAATTTAATAATTTCTAGACTACATTGTAATTTTTAAGTTAATGAAGTTGTGCATGCTTCCAGAATCAACCATGATAAAAATAAGATATTTGTTTACCTTACCTGTTACCCTTAAGGTATGAAAACCATCAATCCCTTCTAAAGCATTGATGGATATGTAAAAAGTAATCATTTCAATGTCTAGTTCTACCTTTGTTGACATTTTCATCATCATCAATAAGACAAAGGGAATACACTTTTTTGTTCATGCATTTATGATCAGGAATAAACCTTTCATCATATCAAAAACATAGTTCTTTTGCCTTTCTATCTTTCAATTCCTTATTTTTTTAGTAGCCTAGTACCTAGTAGGTTTCATAGATGAGTTGGTGGTATAGTTATGCTTAAAAGTGGGTAGTATGCCATTTTTATTGGTGTTTTGGAGTGTTGTAGGTCAATATTAAAAGTTTTTTATAACTAGAATGAAGAGAATTTATTTTTATGTGGCTAAGTTGATTGTAAGAATGAAAAGAGGCTTTTAAAAGGTTATGATGGTCATATTTATAGAAAAGGGTATTTTCTTGTAGTCTAGTTAAATTGTAAGCTTATTTTAGGGTTTTTTATTCAAATATTTTGACTAGGTTTTTTTCTTTCAATTTCCATCCCTTCTATAAAGAATGCTAGTGTATGTTTACCATAAATTTCAATAATACTCCATAGTATATCAAAGTCTTGTGTGTAAGACTCTAGACTTTCCACTTTTCTCATATTCATTAACACTTTTAATGGTTCTTTCTAACCACCAAACCTCGCACACAATGCCTCTAGATAATAACTTTTAAGTTACTTATTGGTTACTATTACTCATTATAAAATTTTAGTGCTAGTACAAGGCCATATCATCCAGGTAATATGATGTCAATTTTAACTTTTTAGAATTTTCTCTCTTTCACCTCAAAGTATTCATTGCAGTTATAAAACTATGTGTATACCTTTTTCTTTATACCCTGTAAGATGATGTCTAGGTTTGTGTAACTTATGGTGATTGTACCCACCCTCACATGTCCAACAAGCTTAGGCACCAAAATTCTTATCATGAACTTGTTTGTCTTTGGCAGTGTTGGATAGGCATGTGGGATGTTGTAAAGTCTGCAAAAAAAAGACTTACTGGTAAGCTAACCCGTTAATAAGGTTCCTTAGCTCTATAAATCCAACTTCATGTGTCGTGATCTGGTGCCTTCTAGTTTTTTATTATAAGATTTTAGCAGTTGCATCATTAGCTCATGTTTCTATGCTTGTTATTTGTTAACAGATTCAACGGAATCCTCTGGTATCTTAATTTTTTAGGATTGAGTATCATGCACCACTGCTTGAGTCTAGAGAGTGGGAGCTTTAATACCACTTGGAGCGAACTTAACTAAGATTGTTCCTACTTGGAATAATTTCAAGCAACTAGAAGGATTTGATAGTTAGAAGGTAATGCCAGCAAAAAGATAGTGAAGAAGCACTCACCCTTATGAAAGAAAGAAGAAGAAAAAGAAGGGGGGAGAGAGAGAAGGGAGGAGAGATTCATGCAATTACAAAATTATTCATCCATGCCTTTCAGTCAAAAATGTTTGTTATAGACATAGTCAAAATAGACCAACAAATAAGTGTGTTTGGTATTATGATAGCTTTTATGGTTGTAGTTTAAAAAAAAATTGTTTTATAAAAAGTATTTTTTTATTGAAATTTGTTTGGTATTTATATATGCTTGGTTAAAATTATAATTGAAATTGAGATTAAACAAAAAATAATTTAATGTGTTTCAAATTAAGGTTGTAAAATAATTTAATATATATATATATATAATATTTTTTTTACTGTTCCATTAAACTATCTTCAATTCCATCACGTATGAAATACATCCAATAAGGATTACAATTTTCTTGGTTTCTTAAGCGCGCAACAATATCAGATAAAATATCATCGAAAAAAATTGTTTTATAAAAAGTATTTTTTTATTGAAATTTGTTTGGTATTTATATATGCTTGGTTAAAATTATAATTGAAATTGAGATTAAACAAAAAATAATTTAATGTGTTTCAAATTAAGGTTGTAAAATAATTTAATATATATATATATATAATATTTTTTTTACTGTTCCATTAAACTATCTTCAATTCCATCACGTATGAAATACATCCAATAAGGATTACAATTTTCTTGGTTTCTTAAGCGCGCAACAATATCAGATAAAATATCATCGAAAATAAAATTGAAATTGCAATCAAATTCTGTAAATACTATATCATTAAGCGATCTCCTTCTAATTTATGTGGTGTCATTAAATAATGTTAAATACAAGATTAAACAAAAAATAATTTAATGTGTTTCAAATTAAGGTTGTAAAATAATTTAATATATATATATATATAATATTTTTTTTACTGTTCCATTAAACTATCTTCAATTCCATCACGTATGAAATACATCCAAT